ATCGACTTCACCCTATAAGCACTGCGTCACTTGTACAAAACATTGAGTTCATCCTGTTTCATCCCTGAGGATGGATCCGGAGTTTGAGTCCTATCCCTTAGGCAAATACAGCTTGCATCTCATTTTCCACCTCTACTTAATGCTGTTTTATACTGTGAACACTCATTTCGGTCCAGGGTCATCTTTTTGGACATCTCGGTCCGCATACCCGACTTTGCTACAGCTAATCGGACCGCCCCTAGCTATAATCTTATGAAATCTTAAATAGCATACCTCTACCCAACAACGGGTAGATCTCACCGACGAGCCTACTCCTGTGGCGTCCCTGATTGTAATATGGGATCAAATGGGTGGAGCATTCGGTGTAGCGACTGCAAAACCCGAATCTACGAACGCTGCTCCCCGCCGCCGCTGTCTGAAACTGTCGCACTCCTAAAAACCTACCGCACGTACTCCGCAACTGCCTGGGCCACCCTCTCGCAACTACTGCTTTTTGTGCCCCCCTTTCAACACAGCTATAGTTAGTGAAAGTCTATGCAATACCCTCAACGTCTGCCTTCCCATGGCCTAATCCACAAGTTAAATCTAATGAAGATGGTCATTTTGGGTCAAGATAGGCTAGCGGTATTGTGCTGCTTAAAGAGCCATAGCTACCGGATGACAATTTCCTATGCAACTGGGGTGTATTTATCGCTTGGAAATGAAAGGGCAGTGCGCTATTTCAAATTAAGTAACGATTATGTCGTTTTGAGCAGCTGAGAACCAACCTCGGGGTCGTTTTGAGTTGACAACTCCATTGAGGCGCTCCAGTTGCTTTCGGTATTTTGTAACTTACCGTGCGGAGTCTGCAAGATCCCACTAGCTGTCTAAAAGCACTCACGAACATTGTTCTTCCAATGGTTGATGTTTGTTTTTGTGGAACTAAAAAATAGCAACGCCTTACTACCGCCATAAACCAGCACATGACATCCGCTCAGTCACTATGTTCAGTCGCCTTCCTAGACAGTTGTTCTAGCACTTGCCTGTAGATCATGCTAGGGACAGAGCAAGAGCTAACTTGCGTACATGCAACTATGAGTTCACGTAAACCTCATTTTCGCCATCGAAGTGTGTCCTTATCACGAATCTCTGACAAACAAATTATCTCACTTACACTTCCGTTCTTGTTTTGACTGAACATTTTTCTTCTGTCAGCTTGCCCCGAAAAGCGCTCGCAAGAGTATCGAGATGGCCTGAAGAAGATGGCCAATCTAATGACGGATGTGGATCTCAACGAGGACGTAATGAGGAACCTCAAACAACAATTTGACCTTAATCATTGAATGCCTACACCTCCTCCGCTTCTGCCACACTCACTGATTGTCTCAAACTATTTCTTACCCCTTGAGGCACAGA